GAAAAAGGGCCATTCCCCCCGAAGCTGTTCTGAATTCACAACTCGTGAGCAGAGACTGCAATATATGAGACGCCATTCCCTCTGCCTCAACTGTGGAGCCCCAGACCATAGAGCGAATGAGTGTAACAAAGGCGCCTGCAGGATATGTGACCAGTTCGGGCACCACACCTCCATTTGCCGGCAAACCACATCTAACGAAAAGGGACCAGTACCTGTTACGGAGAAGAAGACCCCAGGAAGGTCCTCGAAACCAACAACTTGCAGGACTGCCAGACAGAATTTTGTTTCCTCTTCACCAAGACAGAAAGAATACACGTCTCCTTTACCCGAACAAGACGACGAAGAAGAATCCGATCTAGACGATGTGTTATGTCTGAAAAGTACCAGTTTGAAAACAAATCGAAACGACTGCGTTCTCATAGGAGAAGCTCTGGTTTTCAACGGAGCAACACAATCGCTTGAAACGGTTCATATACTTCTCGATACAGGAGCAGATCGATCATTTATATGCGAAGAGCTTGCAAGACGCCTTCGCCTAGAGAATGAAGACTCGATCCGAATGAGCATCAACACATTCGGAAATCACGCACCAGGGGAAACGCTTTGTGACGCTCACTACAATCCAAAAATTTGACTCCCTCGGGAAATCCCACAAATTCCGTGTAGCCCGTATTGATCACATTTCTGAGCCTCTTCAACGATGTGCGTTCAGCAAGGAGGACAAAGAATACATCGCAGAAAACGAAATCAAGCTGTCCGTTGGTCACAATCACCAACAATTACGTCCTCAAATCCTGCTGGGATGCAATGACGTTTTTTCACTCATAGACGAGAATGATAAGCAGCCGAAATCTCTACCATCAGGGCTGAGGTTGATACCGTCACGACTAGGATACCTGGTTATTGGGGCAAGGAACAGCTACGAAAACAACAACTTACTAGCCGTTGATACCTCACCTGTAAGACAACGAGAAGACAACAATAAATGGGAGGAGTTTCTCGCGCTGCAATCCTCCGGTATTCAGGAATTCGTAGGAACAAAGTCTGAAGAGCAAGAACAACTCAGCAAGAAAGTGTGGAAAGATTTTGAAGCAACGATTGAAAGGCACAAAGACGGATACTATGTTCGATTGCCGTGGAAGGATGAAGCCCACTTGCTACCAAACAATAAATCAATTGCATACAGACGTTTGTGCACCAACTTGAACAAGCTGCGGACGAACCCGACTATATTAGATCAATACCATCAGACATTTCTGGAACAAGCCGAGAAAGGAATCATCGAAGAAGTTGATCGTCATCAAACCACTGAAGGAAACATCGTGCACTATCTCAGCCATCAAGCAGTGATTACGCCCACCAAAGAATTCACTAAACTGAGAATCGTATTTGATGCGTCTGCTCATTTCAAGAACAAACCCTCTCTGAACGATATGCTGTATCAGGGACCGGTGATACTACCCATTATGAGGGATATGCTCATTCGGTTCAGAATTGGACATATAGCCATGATAGCGGATGTGGAGAAAGCCTTTTTACAGGTCCACCTTAACACCAAGGACAGAGATGCTACAAGCTGTTTGTGGGTGAAAGATGTCACGAAAGAGCCTGAAGGATCAAACCTCGTCGAATACCGCTTCACACGAGTCACATTTGGCTTGAACTGCTCACCATTCCTACTCGCAGGAACAATCAGACATCATCTAGGAAAAGAGACGAAACACAAGGACCTGTCGAAGGAACTGCTTAACAACATCTACGTCGATAACTTGATACTCACAGCCTCCAGCGAAGAAGGAAGCACTACGAAAATATAAAACATCCAAGGCGATCTTCAAAGAAATGAATATGAACATTCGAGGCTACTTAACCAACAACGACCAAGTGAACCACAACATTCCACAGGAGGATAGAAGTAAACAAGAGATTACAAAAGTTCTCGGAATTCGTATGGAACTCGAAAACAGACACTGTCGTCATCGAGGGAAAACTCGTGGACAAAGGAGTTTCTACTAAGAGAACAATTTCCGAACAGATCGCATCCATTTACGACCCCATGGGATGGCTTACGCCACTTCTGCTCAAAGGAAAACTATTTCTTCAGCTAATTTGGAAGACTGGATACGACTGGGACACAGAACTTTCCCACGATCACGAAACTGAATGGAAAGAAATTCTCAAGCAAATAAACGGTTTCAAACGTACTTTCCTACGAAAGATGTCACCACTCCACTCGGAAATAAAGCTCGTGGTCTTTGCCGATGCCAGTGTACAAGCAATGGCATCGTGTGCTTACCTGGTGACAGAAGCAAATTCCCACCTTGCCTTTGCGAGATCGAAGCTGGCAAATGTGAAACAACACACGACAATCCCAAAACTAGAGATGCATG